CATATCTCAGTCAACAGGTTAACATCCAACTCAGACCATCGTCAATTTTTTAAAGAAAAAAGGACGAGTTTGAAACATGCTAAATAGTCGAGTGACCATTTTGTAACTTTTAATAGTTGAGGGACTCAACAAAGCAACACCCTATAGTCAAATGACCATTTTGTAACTTTTAATAGTCGAGGGACTCAACAAAGTATCACCCTATAGTTGAGAGATTATTTGTGTAATTTACCCTAAATTTTAATATCATTGAGAAGATGTACTAATTGATGATGGAGTAATAAGAGGTAATTATGTTGTCTCATCTTGTGTAAGTTCGAATTCTTATATTTATCTTGAAAATGTAATACATCTCTACTTAATCAAAAAATTTGATGGATCGAGAGATGACTCCGACCTCAAACTTGAGAGTGAGTTTGGAGCAACTGAAGATCATAACAACTCTGAGTATTGGTGCGACCAAAAATCTGACTCAACTTACATAGTGGCCATCTCTCTCTCTCCCTAGCTAGTAGCTACATTGGGTATGAAGTGGTTGAAACATGAAACGAATAACTCCAACCCAAATCCTTACAAAAGCAAAAGCACAAACAAGACAGGTCCAACAGGTTTCTTGCATGAATCAAGTTGCCATTAAATAAACTAAAATAAAATAAAATAAAAAGACAGGAAACCCATTGTTCAAATGCTACCATATATATATGATACAAAATGATGAAACAAAAACCAAACTAATCATTGCATAGGCAATTGCAAAGATTTTTTTTGAGATTTCGAGAGCAATGCCTCTAAGAGCAAGTAGGAGGAGGGATGTTGAAGTGAGGAAGAAAGGGTACAAGAGTTTGGTATTAGATGCAGATGAAGGAAGAAGGAAAAGAGAGGAAAATTTGGTGGGGATAAGGAAAACCAAAAGACAAGAGAGTCTCCTCAAGAAACGTAGAGAAGGCTTTTTTATTCTCTATCAGTATCACCACCACCACTTCACTCATGATATCTCCGTACCAAATGTAAGAAGATTCAATCAATTCTTTTTTTCATAACTAAAGTGTTGATTGATTATACTTGGTTGATAGGAACATTTAGGTTACCATGGTTATAGTCAGTTTATCTTTTTTTTTGGGCAGAGAATTACAGTCGTTGATTTTACGATGAATGGTTGGTTTTTGGTAATATATAATGTTATACCTCCTCCGCACGTCTCGCATGAAAATAATGTTATATATAATGATCTTAAGCCTGACACAAATATTAAGAATTATTATAAAATCCTCGTGTTCCTCATGTGAGACGGAAGGAAATTCTCTCTTTTCTTCACTTTCGATTTAAATAAAAAGTGTGAACGTCTAAGTGTGAATATCTATAATCATCGTAACTCAAATATTTTCATCGACATACTTCATTTAGGAGTAAATGTCCATCTTTTGCATTGGATTACAACTTATATTGTATGACAGTTGATGGTGAAAGGAGTATCATCCGATGATCCAGCACTGCAGTTAGAAGCTACTACTCTACTTCGAAAGCTATTATCAATGGGTTTGTTTGATCATCTCTACCCATCTTTCTTGTAGAAATTGGTTCCTACACTACAAACTCACAGTACATGTAACTGCAGAGAGCTGCCCCCCAATCCAGCAGGTAATCGAAGCAGGCATTGTTCCTCGATTAGTCCACTTTCTTGACAATCATCATCACCATCAATTACAGGTACACTTATTCAGTTCAATCCAGTTCAGTTCTGTTAATTCACTGAATCATTGGAGTTTGATTTTGATTTTGATTTTTCGTTTTCCAGTTTGAGGCTTCGTGGGCATTGACTAATATTGCTTCTGGTACATCTGAGCAGACACACGTTGTTATTCAACAAGGTGCTGTGCCCAAATTTGTGCACCTTCTTGGCTCTTCTATTACCGATGTTCGAGAGCAGGTCGGTTTTGTTGAAAGTCTTTATTATTTTCCTGTTCACATTCTGTCAAAAAAATAGAATGTTTGATTAAATAGTCATTTTGATTCATTTTTTTTGGGTAAACGACATATTTAGTAACCTATTTCCACAGCTCCGTTTTGATCACTCAACTCAATTAGTTTTTCAAAATTATATATAAAGTTACATTTTAATTCCGTTTTGGTTATCCACCATTAAAAAATTAACGGCAACACTGACGTGCAAGGCCGGGTGCACTAAGCCCCTTAGGGGAGCAAGTGCATCCCATTATTTTAGGAAAATTGTAAAATCTAGTTTAATGTGTTAAGAGAAGGAGAGAAAAAAGAAGAAATTTGCATACCTATTTTTTTTTTTGAAAAAAATGAGTATTAAAATTTGGTCACTGCTAACGTGTCACCATAAGACAATGCTATACTGTCATTGGAAAAAAATTGTTACACCAACGTTTCTGTTTTTTTTAACAGTGGATGATTGAAAAATAACCAAAACATAACTTTACGTATGATTTAAAAAAATAGTTGAGTGACTAAAACGGAACCGTGATAATAATTGGGTGACTAAATATGTAGTTTACCCTTCCCTTTCTAGAACATTTAACCGAGTTTTATTTTAAGACAAAAAAAACTTTTAACGTTTGGCTAAATAGTTATTTTAATTTTTATTCTTTTTTATTAATATTTTTACTTTTTAACATTTCATTTTATAAGAAACAAACTCATATTTTAGAGCGTTGATTTTTTATGGACTAACAATTTCTATCAATAGAGAGGAATTTTATTTTAAAATGGAACATTAAAAATCAAAATTCTAAAAAGAAAATAAAACCAAAATAATTATTTAATCAAATGTTTCTAATTTACCCCTCTAACATGCCTGGTGAATCCCAGGCCGTTTGGGCATTGGGTAACATTGCAGGTGATTCACCAAAGTCTAGAGATATAGTTCTGAATCATGGTGGACTGCTTCCATTACTGGCACAATTGAATGATCATTCAAAATTATCTCCACTAAGGAATGCTACTTGGGCTTTATTAAACTTCTGCCGAGGCAAGCCACCACCACCCTTCCACCAGGTTAAGCCTGCTTTGCAACCCTTGCACCACCTCATCCAATTAAACGATGACGAAATTCTCACCGATGCTTGCTGGACGCTTTCATATCTCTCCGACGGCACCAACGAAAAGATTCAGGCGGTGATCGAGGCCGGCATTTGTGCACGACTTGTGGAGCTTCTTCAGTAAGATGTGTCGTTCATGTATGATGTTTATGTTCCCATGCATCTCTTGATGTAATAACATTTCTGGTTACTGCAGTCATCCCTCGGAAGCCGTGATCGTCCCCGCGCTTCGGACTGTAGGGAACATCGTCACCGGTGACGATTCTCAGACTCAGGTTGTAATTGACAACCAAGTTCTCCCTTGTCTCCACAAATTTGTGTCCCATAACTACAAAAGGTGTATAAAGAAAGAGGCTTGTTGGACAATGTCAAACATCACTGCTGGGAATACAAGTCAACTACAGGTTAAATGCTGAATGTATTCAACAAACCATAGTTTCTCAAGTCCTAATGAGTTGAACAATTCATTTGCAACAGGCAGTCATTGAAGCAAACATAATCAGTCCTCTGCTTCACCTTCTTCAACATGCCGAATTCGATATCAAGAAAGAAGCTGCCTGGGCCATTTCCAATGCTACCTCCACCGGATCCCATCAACAGATTCAGTACGTTCTTTATCGTCGATTCATATCGTATCGGTTTGATTTCAACCGTCGTTTATTTTTGACAGATACATGGTGAAACAAGGTTGTTTGAAGCCACTTTGTGATCTTCTAGTGTGCCCTGATACAAGGATTGTGACAATATGCCTCGAGGGTCTTGAAAATATTCTAAAGATCGGTGAGGCGGATAACAGTGGTGGTGGGAGAAACATGTACACTGAAATGATTGAAGAATGTGATGGATTGGAGAAAATAGAGAACCTGCAGAACCATAACAACAATGACATCTACAACAAGGCTGTGAAGATGTTAGAGAGGTATTGGTTGGAGGAGGAAGAAGAAGGTCAATATGGCCATTCACACTTTTCTTTTGGGGTTGACCCTCCCTCCCTTTGGAGGTTTTGAATTCTAGTTGAAACCCTTCTTGTGCATAAACACAGTTTTCCAAGGTCATGTATAGAACAAATCAACAGTCGAGGCATGTGAATCTTTAAGAAAAAGGAATGGTTTTAAAAAATAATCCAAATATTTCAATACTTTATTACATATATTGAAACGCGTGTACATAAATATACGAAAGTAAATGATGAAAAAAAATACATTTTAAAAATTAATTCTCCAAATACTTCCAAGTAAAATGAATTAAAAAAAAGAAAAGAAATGGCAATGGCAGAGGCCACCAGGAATTTACAAGGTAACTTAAACTCTCCCCCAAACATTCAAATACTAGCTTTAAAGGGATAATTACCAAGAACAACATATATTTGAATGCTGTGAATAAAATAAATAAATTACTTGTCCACCCAATCCTTATATCCATAAAAATCTTTCCAGCCTTTCCCCACCATCTAAACCTGCAACTCCTTCCATCGTACTATACAAGTGAAAGCAAATAATACATTGTTAGCGAGTTTTAATTTAAAATGTTATTTTATCTACTCTATAAAGTTATATAATTAACAATATTTTCATTTATAGTTAAGAATGCTATGTTACAGTGAATTTAAACCTAAAATATTATCTTGTATATTCTAAGAAGTTACACAATAGATAATAACTTTAATTACAACTAAGAATATTACATGAGTTTATTGACGGTAACATTTTAAATTACAACTAAAATAATTATGTAATTTACATGATTTATATTGAAGAACCTAATATTTCGATTTTAACTTAAAATATTATCGAATTTATTTTACAAAATTATAATCAATTATGATTTTTTTTAATATTATATTAATCGATTGTATTTTTATACTTCTCATTATTTATCTTTCAACTTTATTATTTTATTTGTATGGAAACCAACGCATTGAAATGCAACACTGAATACTTACAAGGAAGATCCAGAATCTGGTGTGCTTGAAGTATTTCCAAGTAACTTAATTGGTATTAGACCTTCCTCCGTTGCTCCTACGGGTACTTCAGTCCCTTCCGAAGTTGTCGGTGGATCTCGAGATGGCATTCCTGTTGGATTAAAATTCGTAATTGCTAACATATTTGTATAATGTATAATGTTATTATAAAATATTATACAAATTTAAGTGATAATTATGTTACATATATTATAGATATTAAAGTATGATAAAAATAAAATATAGATACCATAAATTGTATTTATAATTTGATGAGGAGCGTAATTATAAATACTTAAAAGGCTGACTTAATATTAAGGATGGCACGAGATCCTAACCCGAAGAATTTCTACTTGGCCTGACCCGACCTTATTGGGTCATTTTTAAAAAAAAATCTGAGTCCAAGTCGGTCAAATTTTTTTAGAGTATAAGTTTGGATTAGATTGGATTCAAATTTAGGGTGAAAAAATATCCAACTCGACTCAAAAAATAATATAATTATATATTATATATTTATGGATAATTACAAAAATACCTTCTCTATATTATTATTTTCATTTAGATCCCTATTTTATCAAATTTTTATTTAGAATAATATATATATATATATATATAATTGTGTTGGGTCATGTCGAATTGGGTGGATTTTATCTCAAATGGCGGGTTGGGTGAAGTCACCTAAACCCGGGCCAGGTCAAATTTCAGATTAAAGGTATATTTTTATTCGGTAGGGTTGGTCGAAATCTGACACATGTCCATACTTACCTAATATTTAGTTTTATATAAGAGATAATGTCCCAAGAAACAAGTAAATTTATATTTTTTTTTCTTATCCCGTCAAAAAGTTTGAGAAACCAAATTAAAATTGATGAAGCAATTTAGTATTGGGAATTAATCTGGAAGATAAGGATATGTTACCTTGATAGATGATGATGACACAAAAAATGATGGTGAAGAGCATGAGAAATATGGTGGTGTTATAAGATGTTCCCTTGGCACCTTTCATCTTCTTCAAGGCTCTCATCCTCTCAATTTTAGCCCGTTTCGACCTAGCCAACTCGGTTAACTCCCTAATTAATTTATGGTCAGCAGCATCCAACGTAGGACCCTTTGGTGGCCTTGGAGGCTTTGGAGCCTTTTTATTACGTTTCTCTTTCCGTGCTCCTTTATTATTATTCTTGTTCTGCTCTTTACCATCTTTACTCTCTTGTTCTTCCTTTGTCGTCACTGCCTCCGCATTGACGACGCTACCAGAATTCGAGGGATCGATGGGTAAAGATGCTACGTCATCTGGATTATCCGAAAAGCTGCCTCTAAACATGGAAAGCAACGATTGTGCCTTGTTTTTAAGGCCTGGAAATGGGTTGTTAATTTGATGTTGTTCATCATTAGTTGTTAAGCCTTTTTCAAGGTCAAGTTGTACGTTTTTGTCTGTCGGAGCCATGCAATCCACTCACGGGCACAACTGAGGATTTCTTCAACCTCAAGAAAGGCAGCTATCAAGCTTTAACTTCAATCTTCAATGAATGAAATCTAAGTTTGAGCCAAAACCCATCAATATCAAAACCCCTCCTGCATCAACAACAAAGAGTTCAATAAGAAAACCCTAAAACACCATAGGAACCATAGTATTAAATTGAGACCACAACACATTGTAACAACCACGCCATAATGTTTTTCAAGGTCACCACGACACCGTAAATCAGATCCACATCATAAAAATATTGTTAGTTTTAGGAAATAGATCACGTCATAACGTCTGCAACATCCGCATCCGAAGAAACATAAAAATGAAAAAGAAATACCTTGGAAAGAAAGGAGGAGGAGGAGAGAAGGAATGTTCAAAGATGCAATGTGAGAAACTGGAACTCCTTCGTTCGTATGTTGAAATATAAATGGTGAACGCACATGTAACGGAAAGAAGCTTGGCTTACCCAAAATGGTGGCCGCACCCTTTGTTTTCCTCTATTTTCTCCTTTGTTACCATTGATGACAATTGTTAATGCTTTCATTTGTTTTTTTTCTTTCTATTTTTGGCCTTTTTTATTCATCTTTCATTATAGTATCACCTGGATTTTCACTTGACAACTTATGTATTTAACAACTCAAAACATAATATACACTTAACCGGTCGATTTAACAACGAGATCTAAACAATTAAAGAGGAAAAAAAGCAAATTAGATAAATATTTCTTTCTATAACACATACTAATTTAGACATTGCTGACTTAACAACTCAAGTACATAAACACTGAACTTTAGTTTTTTTTTAAACAATTTCTACCTATGAGAGGGGAAAAGGAAATTGTGTTCCTAATAGATATTGAACTCATAATCTAAGGGAGAGAAGAAATATACGCTAAGAGCTTTTAACCACTTGCTCTCTATATGTTGTTGACACTGAACATTGATTTGAATTTCAATTGTATTATTAAATTTTATTTTGATTAAAATATTAACATGATCCTAAGTTGATTCAGTGGTTGGGAAAAAAAATAGAACTCCGAAAAGACCAAAAACGTTATTTCATCATATTTTAGTGACTGTTTTTGTACTTTACCCTACAATTTCTATATATTTTGTATTCTGACCTTTGGAAAAATCAAACTTCCCCCTTATGTTTCAACTTATTCTTTCTAAATCAATTTTCTTAGCTATCTGTTTTAAAAGGAAATTGTAAGATTTTATATTAACAATGTATAGTTTACACTAGTAAGATTCATCACTGATTTTAATAAGCTAAACTTGTAAAACAAAAATCAAAGATCCCACAAGTTTGATCTCCGACAGTATGAATCGAGAGATTATATTTTAATACAAATATCCAAATTCGAAAATATTATGTACAAAGTTCCCTAATCAATGTTCCTGACTGCTACGGAACCACCGGTAGGTTTTCGAATATTACACAAAAGATTTCGGATAATATAGCAAATATCTCCCATGTCCCAACCAACCTATGAGCATCCTGCAGCTCACACATGTTGCCAACCACAGCCCACTTTTTTAGTCCTTCTGTCTTTGCTCCCACTTTTTTATGCTATTGGCAATGGCACAACTTTATGTGGTAACCAGCTACACAACGAACATCAATGGACGTACACACGCTTGGAAAAACATGCCAATGCTCATACAGCTTTACCCTCACTCTTTATTGAATCCGTCGACTATTAAAGTTATAAAATAATCATTTAATTATTTATATATTTTAAATTCGTTCTTTTACGATAAAAAGAATTAATGATCATCTAAACTGGACATTAACATAATAAATGAGATATAATAGTCATTTTAAATTCTAAAATCACATTTTAATATATCTCAATCATCAAGTTAACGTTCAGTTCAAATTGTCGTCAATTTTTTAATTAAAAAAATAAATTTAGAACATATAAATAGTCGAATGACTATTTTATAACTTTTAATAGTCGGAGAACTCAACAAAACGACGTCCTATAATAGAATAATTATTTTATAGCGTTTAATAGTCGAAAAACTCAATAAAATAATATCATATAATAGGGAATCATTTGTGTATTTTACCTTAAAAAATAATGACACCATAAAATACAAAATTTGGCAGGTTCATGATCCCTTTCGAGAGCCATCTCCACCCAAGTTACTGGCTTGCTGAAATTGGAGTGTATATTGTTTCTGAAGATCCCTAAGCTTGTCGAGTAGTTCCTGGAACGTCGGCCGGCACTGCGGATCACTGCTTTTCCGAATTGTTTAGATTGATGTATCAGACCACATTAACATAAAAAAAATCATGTATGTGTAAAGAGATGAGCACCTGTGCCAGCAACTCGATTATAAAGCCCATCGTGGATCTACTTCCTTCGAATCTCCAGCCGATGGTTCATGAACCCGACGGCTCCAATCACCTACATATATAGGACCTTCTGTTTAGCAGAGCAGTCGGTTCCATGATTTTCGCTTCCGAACTTAAATCTTTCTAATAAAAACTATACCTGCATCGGTTGATTTTCCCAAGGTATCTTCTCCGTGGCCAAGCTCCCATAATAGGACTCCAAAACTATAAATATCAGACCTAAGTGTTTCCAGAAACACAAGGTCAGGAGTGATAGAACAGGTGAATGTGATCGGACAAGGGACTTGTATGTGAGTGAAAAGGAGAAACACTACTTTTCGTCCGAGAGTTCATTACGAAGAACTTCGGTGCCATCCATGAGGCTACAGAAAGCATGGTACTTATAAGCCAACCAAGAAACCAGAAAGCTATGCATCTCAAAAAATAATTAAGACTCATTAGATTAGATATTCATTGATGGAGGAGGAAATACAGGTTTCAGTAAATACCGTTCCTTTCCCAGTCTTTGTCGTGAGATATGTTTCATGCTTGAGACGTGACAAACCAAAATCGCAAACCTGTTCAAAATAGAATTTGATTAACCTTTAAGCACACAAATTATCCTCAAATCTGAATCAAGAAAAACAAATTTGGTTTTCAAAATGTAGTGGCAACCTTCACCATCCAATTCTTATCAACTAGGAGATTTTAAGACTTCAAATCACGATGAATTATAGGCGGATTGCAATGGTGAAGATAATTCATGCCTCGTGCCTGAAAATGTTTAAGACTCCAGTGAAACAAAAAAGCGAAATTGAAACAAATGCAGAACAAAGGATTGCAAGCACATCCATCATAACCAGAGAAACATCATGAACTTGGGGAAAATGTTTCTGAACTAACTGATGCTTACAACATCCAAAGCCATTTGAATTCGCCGTCTCCAATCTAATTTGGTGGTATTTCTCTGTAGCAGCGAACAGACTCCCACTGCATCAATAATACATAAATATAAGCATTCATCAAGCCAAGTATCTCTACTTCAATTAAATCAACAAAACTACTGTCCCTCAGAGAAAAGACATGCTGTGTGAAAGTCAAATGTGTGCCAGGATAAAGGAAGTTGAGATTGAACCGTGGAAGGAACTCAGTGACAATGCAGAGACGTGAGGTGACGTCACGGCTCCATGAACAGCAGAACTTAGGATGCCGAAGTCTTTTCATAAGAGACACCTTCAAATAAAAAGGCAAGATAGTGAGAGCAGGCGCTTTGAAAATACCTTGACGGCAACATCCTGCAATAAACGAATATGGTTGGCTTACACAAATAATGAGATGATTGCAGTTTTTATTTTTTAAGATCCCTACCATTCTCCATTTAATCCATGCAACATCTTCCATTTCATGCAAAATTCTAATTACATGACTGTGTAAATTGTTTAGATTGAAAAAGACGAATCATATGCATCTTTTTTCTCCAAAAGTTTAGCTTAATTTCATCAACATCGTGTTTGTACTTCCTCCAAAAAGTGAAGGAACAAAAAGGAGGAGACATACTGATCCATACCACAGTGCATGATACACAGTTCCACAAGAACCTGGAAAAAAAAAAGTCATCATAAAAGTAAATACTAAAACAAGATTACATAAAAAAACATCATAACTAAAATAAAAGAATAGAAAAAAGAAAACACGGACACAGAGAGCTTTCGGTCAACAACCAAGTTCTCAGCTATTCATGTGTCTGATGGACATTTGGGTTTCAGTTAATCTGCTTTGTTATTAGTCATAAAAATGAATAAAGATAATAGAACTGGTGTAAAGTTTTATGCATATTGGCTCCAATTATTAACAAGTTCATAATTCTATCATGCCCCCCGGTTGCTGTTCCGGCGAAAGAATTACCTTGCCCAATTTGCTCTCCAATTGTCAAGTCTTCCCACAAGATTTCATAATCTAAACAATCAGTGTCCATGTCAACTCTATTAACAGCACTACTGCTGGCACTACTCGTGCTGTTAACATTAACAGATGACCAGGAACCTGGTGCTTCATTATTAACAGGTCTATTACCATTACCATGGCCTTCAGGTTTTACAGTAATATGGGCACTTTGGTTGAAATGTTTCATTCTCTTGATCATTACCCAACCAAGGCCAAGCGAAACGTGCAGTCCTTGCCTCGGGACCTTCTCTATCGTTCCCTTTCCAAGGCCATGATATCCCTTTCTTACCCATCAAGGTCATAATCTTTTGGATCGCTGGTTTTCCTTCACTCTCGTCCCCAGATCTCTAGAGGTTTAACTGGAGGCTTTCCTCGAAAGCAGAAAATAAACCAAAGGCAGATGGGTGTATATCTCCCCCGGGTGTGCTGGCTGCACTAAAAGTTGCGTCTTCTTTGTGATCGAAATGAGCTGCGTCAGATAACCATGATCAGAATGGCAACTATCTCCACTTCCCCTTCGAGATCGACACAGTTATCTCCAGTCCTCATTTTGGACTTCACTTTGTTGCTCACCTTTGATGCCTGCATTAGCAACTCTTAACAACCAACCGAACCCAAACTACAATAACAATAAAAACCAACGATAAACATGTACAGAAAATTAACTAATACCAAATTCGTTATTTTTG